CTGTGTTATGAATCGTAATGTAAATATCTGATATGCAGGATGGTCTTAGGTGACCCCTGTGAAAGGGTCGTTTGACCCCCAAAGGGGTCGCGACCCACAGGTTGAGAACCGCTGCTCTAAGGGATCAGCCAACTTCGACCAGTTTGAGAACCGCTGCTCTAAGGGATCAGCCAACCATTCGACCAGTTGACCGTTTGACCAGTTGCTGTGACGCACACTGACAGCCAGGGGGCAAACACTCAACGCAGGAGCTGCCCCCTGGTGGTCAGTGTGCTCCCACAGCGGGAGAGCCGCTCAGTAAGCTTACTGAGCTGCGGCAGGCACAGTGGGCCAGGATGAGCAGGAGCGGCACTGCACCCTGCCCAGGCGCGGGCCCAGACTCCTCCCAGCTGCCTGCCAATTCGGATTCACGCACTACTACATCAATAGACAATTGGTTAAAGAAGATATACTACATATGTACAATGGAATATTACTTGGACATAAAAAAGAATGAAATCTTAGCAGTTGCAAGTTTGACATGGTTGGACCACTATGCTGTATACCTGAAACCAATACAAAATAATACTGAATGCAAGCTGTAATTGAAAAAAAAAAAAAAAAAAATAGTCTGAGAGCTCTTGAGTAGAGACTACTGTATCCTCTGACATCCCTTCTGCCTCCTGTTTCAACTTTTAAGGACCCTGTGATTACCTGCAGCCCAGCTGATTAGCAGCCATTAATTCCATCTGGTACCTGATCCCTGTTGCGCCATGTAGTGTAACAGGTGCTGGGAGTGGGGACAGTGACTTATTTGGAGAGCCACTATTTTCCTTTCCCAAACTGTCTTGTTCCTTTTTGTTTTGCTTACCTTCTTATTACCATGTGTTCCAAAAAGAATTAAACAGAGGATAAAAATACATTTAAAAATAAGGAAAGACAATGAGGCAAGGAGAAAATCAGAAAGGAAAGTAAGAGTCAGGAATGAAGTTCAAACTCAAAGTAGATACCAGGGTACTTCCTGGGAGTCTGGGCCATGAGCTTTACCTGACAACTCTCTGGAAGTGAGAAGCACTGTCATTTACATGCTGCTGTGTCAATGAGTAAACCCTGGCCAGGTATTCAGATGCTTAGATGAATATTCTTTATTTTTTTAAATATAATTTTATTGATTTCAGAGAGGAAGGGAGAGGGAGAGAGACACAGAAACATTAATGATGAGAGTGAATGATCGGCAGCCTTCTGCATGCCCCCTCCCCACCCCCTGCCAGTGGGGATTGAGCCCGCAATCCGAGCATGTGTCCCTGACTGGAATTGAACCCTGGACTCTTGACTCTACAGGCCGACTCTATCCACTGAGCCAAAGCAGCCAGGGGCAGATGAATATTCTTGATGGTTAAGGTGAAAGAAAAGTTTTGTCTCTAGGTCCTCTTGGATACATGAAGTCTAATGAGCAAAACCTTTGCCAGGTTTATGGTAAACCCAGCGACATGGTTCACCTGGCCATTTCCTTCCTTCCTTCCTTCCTTCCTTCCTTCCTCCCTTCCTCCCTCCCTCCCTCCCTCCCTCACTCCCTTCCTTCTTTCTTCACTGCTTTCTCTTTTAGGTTAAAAATGCATTGCTTTGAAGATTTCTTTTAAGACATGAGATTCAGCGCCAGGCCAGATCCAGGGGTTAGAAATATCTAGTGTGGAGGTTCCCACTTGGCGATTCCCAATGGGTGAAGCTTGAGGGTGTCCTGAGCTTTTATTGTGAATGACAGTGATGTCTGTTTTCCAATTTCTAGTTTTGAGGGTCATTAAATACAATATGCATTGATCTCAATCTCTGATCCCCCTTCAAGGCAGAAGAGCGTGAAAGCCTGCCAGCATCCGTCAACCTTAGATTGTGGTTAGTGACATTCAGAAGAGTGCTCTGCATAGCAGCCCATGAAGATGACATGTTCTAATGAAAATATTTATTTATATCGCTAATGGACTGTTGGTTAAAGACAGGATGCATTAGGAACATTCAGGTCAAAATGGAATTATTGAGCATTATGCTGATAGTTCCGTCATTTTCCAGATTATTTTCCCTCTAGCCATAGTTGCATTTATCTGATCAGAATTCTGTTGGCATGTCTTACAGTATTTTTTTTAAATTAGTATTTAGAAAGAGAAAATATTATGACTGGTATACTAATGTTTCTCTTTAATCTATTAGGATTAAAGATTCAGACACCTGCAATGTGTTATTTGTGGAGAAAGGCTTTCAAAATCGCTCCCGCAAACCACCTGTTTTTTCCTGAGAGTATTTAGAAACAAAACAGAAAAAATATAAAAATAAACGTATGGGGTTTGGAGATGCCAGTTAATCACCCCTTCCTCCCTCTGGCCTCTGCACTAGAGGAAACAGGAAGGCAGATGGAGATTGAAGCACATTGGCAGCTTTATTAGAGTAAGACTGAGTGGGAAGATGTGTCTTGGGTGCAAGACTTTCTGACCCGCCCCAGATGGAATCCACACATCTGCCCAGATGGGGGCCAGGCAATGTGGGTGCCCCTGTAGGGTAGGGAAGCTCTGTCCCCTTAACATGTCGGGGGCAGGAAACCCAGCAGCCCGCCCTCACCAGCTTAGATGCTGTCACTCTTCGCCCACATGGCCCATGAGCGCTCTGATGCAGGAGCAGGAACAGTCGCTCTGGGGTTTCTTCCTGCGAATGGAGCACACATTCTGCATGAGAGCATGTCCAGGTAGTAAGTAAGGAGTTCTCTCTTATAAACCATTGGTTTCTTTTTAAATTCAGATGCAAGAAATCCAAATGTTGGGCAGTGTCTTGTCTAGCTTTGATGCCAGGGCTGGGAATCAGATTACTGGCTGGTTTTGAATATACATTTGGTCTCCACACCAATTGTGTACTATGAAGATGTAATTTTGGAATTGATTTTGTTGACCAATCATCCTTTTCCCCACAGAATTAAATTCTGTATGTCACAGGATAAATGGACTAAAAGTAATTTTTCATTGATCATTTTGAACATTGTCAAAGTGAATGAACTTCATAAACTTTAATATCTTGTTTTAAAAATGAAATATAATTTTACTTTAATCTATCATATATAAACATTAAGAAATCATTTAAAAGTTTCTAATGGGTGTGTGTGTGTGTGTGAGAGAGAGAGAGAGAGAGAGAGAGAGAGAGAGAGAGAGAGACTGATAAATGAGCTCATTTGTCACAAAAGGTTTGGCCAAAGTCAACCTAGAACAATGGATGGATTTGGGATTTTGTATCCCTTACATAGTCTCCAAATATAGTTTATTTCAGCAAAGCTTTGAAAGCTTTCAATGGCCATAAAGTTTTGACGTGCCTGGGAAGATAACAGAATTAGAGGCATGTCCAGAAACTTTATTGGTTGACATCATCTTATACAAAATTAAGACACCTAATGCTGATTGATGCTTACTCAGTTGAAGGCTGTTCCACTTTGAAGTCAACTGGGAAAGTAGTAGTGATTGTTAAGCAGGTGATACCACAACTAAGTTCTGTTCTTTAGAGCACTTCAGCAATTATAAAACAACAAAAACTCAGTAGAACCCTGATAACATCTAACTGAGCAGTGTAGAGTGTACGGTGGGCAGCTGCATGGAGTAATTTGCTGTAACAGAGTTAAAAGTTATGCATCCAAACCGTGTCTTTGATTTTAGCATATAGGATTAAAACCTTTAACCTAGAATGCACAGCCAGGTTTTTTTAGATGCAGTCCTAGTTGACAATGATAAAACCATGCTGTCTGCATGCATAATTCATATCTCAGCTGGATGCATTTTACAGTAACTAGGATTGTCCGTAAGACAACTGGTTCTACTGCCCTGCATCCATCTCACTCAAAAGTGCTACCATAACTGAGTTCTGTGCACATTGCAAAAAGGAGGGAGCTACGCCGTATTCTCCATCATCCCGCACTGAAAATTACCATCTGACTTGCCCTTATTCTCACTAACCTGGATAAAAAGATAAAAAGCAGTAGAGTTTTAATGTGCAAACAAACACCTGGGATCTTGTTATAAACACCAGTTCTGATTCAGTCTGGGGTTGGGTCTGAGATTTGCATTTCTAACAGTCTACCAGGTCATCTCAATGCTGTCAGTTCACAGACCAGATTTTGTGTAGCAATGCTAAAGAGGTGCAGGGTGCTAGAAGTGTTGGTAGACATTGAGGCCATTAGGTTAGCCTCAAACAATTGCTCATGTTTGGAGTCAGTACCCAGAAGAGGCTACTAAAAGCCCTAACAGTCCCCTGTGATCCTCCACAAGTCTTCCCGGGCAGGGTGGTGATCTCACAGGGCTTCAGGTGAGCTCTTCCTGAAAAGCTGCCTCCTTGGGCAGGACCCCTTGGGCACTAGCCTGGGAAGACCAGCTCGCGATTCTCTAAGGAGAAACCCAGTGTACCTTGCCGATGGCTTGTCTTGTAAGCCAGTGGATCCACATTGTGGAGAGCAGAAAGTTTAAGTGAAATATTGGAATAGGTCCCATTTTGGGTCCCACTAGATAGGACCCATAGAGTTGGTACAAGGAACATTAGTTCTTAGATGTATTAGTTCTCATCTCTAGCTGTGCATTAAAATGACCTAGGCAGCTTATAAATAAGAATACCCCTGCTTGGGCCACACTTCAAATGAAGTGAATTGGAATCTTCTGGCATGAGACCTGGGCATTTATATTTTTTAAAAAAGAGCCCAGGTGATTCTGAAGTGCACCAGGTGGAAAGGCCCTGGTTCAGGCGCACCTTAACTCGGAGGGCAGAAAACTCTTCTGAGATGCTCTGTGGTTGTTTGACTTAATTCAACATTTTTGTAAGCCTAGGGCTTATGACCAGATCCCAGTCAGGCTGACCCAAGATATTTGCAATATTTGTGAGAGTTGACCTAAGTTTATAAATTGGTAGGCAAGTGAGTTTATCCACCAGCATTCAATAGTTGAGTCCTTCCCTAAGAAAATTTAGAGCTGGGGCATGACGACCCAGGATCTGCCAAAGCTTGGGGCCTTGAGCTCCATGTGCAATTACTGTCACCATTTTAGAAGAGATGGAAATTAATTACAAGGTTTAAATGTGATCAGCCTTTGAGTAGCCACCTCAGATTGTGTGTGTATGTACATGCATATGTTCGCCCCTTGTCACATCAGCTAATTAAAAAAAAGATTTGAACCTGGTGGTGTATGAAATGAGGTGCCTGGAGGGCTGTCCCATTTCTGCCGACAGTGCAGCAGGAACCCTCATGGGGGGAGGCCAGCACCCAGCCAGTTCCTCTGCAGGTGGAGGAGAGGGGTCCAGGGTTGGGGTGACTGGCTTGTGAGGTCTGGGAGCACTTGTTGAATAATGCACTTTATCTTGAGGGCATTACCCCACTTTTAAAGATAATTTTGATAGTTTTTGTGACAGTGGTTTTTTCTATTGCTGGGGCCATTTTGAGCCAGTTATCACGCGTGGGTATTTTCTAGATGAGTTGCCAGAAATCGTCCGAGGAAAAAGTGCATTTTGTACGTACCATGAAATTTCTTTGTGGCTTTACCATCCTTTGGCTCTGAATGAAAGCAAATCTTTTGAGCATTTTCTTCATTCAGCACTGCCGAGCTCCACCTAGCAAATTTACACACTCTGTGAGCTTTCACAGGCTACTCCTTTCTTCCTCCGAGTCATTATCGACCTGTCATGATGCATGTCCATGGTTTCCTGGGCTGGGAGCCAGGTGACAGCCCTTTCCCTGTTCAGGCTGCTTGATGCAGCATCATCCGGGTTTGGTCTTCCCAAAGCCTTCTGTGTGCCTGTTGGTTTTATGGACGAGATCTTGGTGGAACAAAGCCCCGATGTTCCATACTCATTAGTAAATGGGCACAGCCAGCCTGGGAATGAGCTCCTCGGCTGGTGCCAAGGCAGTGCTGTCACTGAAGGATGGGGGAGAAACTGAGACTCATCTGTCAGTCATCTTGAGACAGCCCCAGGAATGGGCCCCTCTCATCTCTCTGTGGCCCCTGGTTTTAGCACAGGGCTCAGTGCCCACTTGTCTTCAGGCCTTTGGTTGACTCCTGAGTTCTCCTTTGTGCTCTGCAGGCTAGCCTGAGGGCTGGCCTTCTCTGAACCCCTTCCTGTGGGGTTGGTTCTACCAATTGGTAAAGACAGTGGTTCTCATCCCGGCACTTTTATCCTGCAGGGGACATTTGGCCATGTCTGCAGACAGGTTTGATTGTCAGGGTTGGGAGTGGAAGGGTCTCATGGCATCTAGTGGCTAGAGGACGGATGCTGCTTACCGTCCCTCAGTGCAGAGGCCAGCACAACTACTAGTAAGAATTATTTGGCTTCAGAGGGCAGTTGTGTCAAGGATTGAGAAACCCTGGGTTAAATGGGCTTATTTCATTTTTTAGGGACCTACGCTTTTTGTTTTTGTTTAGTGTTTTCAGAATTCTTGGAGTTGCTGCGGTTTCATTTTTTGTTGATGGGAAATTCTGTCAACTGTGAAGTACCTGTGGGCTTGGCGAATGAAACTGACAGGGCCTGTGAAGCCCAGATCTGATCCAGCAGCACAGCTTCCTTCTCCTTTGTTCCCCTCCCCTGTCCACCTGCCAGTAATGTGCACGCCCTGGAGGCCTAGGCAGAATGAAAGCGCAAAACCTTCCTTTCTGTTTTCCCTCCCCCTTTTGCCCTCTAGTGGAGATGGCCATACATGAAGTTGCCAGAGGTTGGCTGGGAGGGGGCAGAGAGCAGGAAGGAGGGCCTGTTCTGGAAAAGGAGTCATTCGCCTGAATACAGTATTTGAACATTTGTTTTGCTCTTGACACCAGATGTGGAGCCCTGAACCACACGCAGTGGACTTGTACATGTGAGGAAATACCCACTTCAGGGGGGCGGGTTCCTTTCCTGCCCACACGAGGAATGCAACTGTAGCCTAATGAATGAGCTCTCTGGGCACAGGCCTGCTGGGGTTTGATCACTTCACATGTAAAAGAGACTGGGCCACTCAAAAACCCATTAAGCCCTGACGGGTGTTTCTCAGTGGTTAGAGCCTCAGCCTGTGCACCAAAGGGTCATGGGTTCAATCCCCCATCAAGGGCACCTACCTGGATTGTAGGTCGATCCCCAGCTCCAGCTGGGGCTCATGGGGGAGGCAACCCATCAATGTGTCTCTCACATCAATGTTTCTCTCTCTCTCTTTCCCCCCTTCCACTCTCTCTAAAAAGCAATGGAAAAAATATCCTTGAGTGAGGATTAAAATAAATAAATATTTGTAAATATATGTATATGTATATTTATATTTATACATATATATAAAAATGCGGACATTAAAGTCCTCTCAACACAGGCCATTGCTCCTATATAAGACCAGGTCTGCCAGCAGTTTATAGGGCTTATTATAAAACCAGAATTAAAACTGATTTTTTTTTTAAAAAAAAGCCTTCCTAAGAATACCTAAGGTGTGTTGTTTTAGTGAGTGTCTTTCAGCTAGTGACTCAAAATAAGACTCGTTCTGCAAGTTCTAAAGAGAATAGGCTGATCTCACCTAGAATATGCTATTCCTGTTTATAGAGAAAAGCTATAGAGTTCGTCAGAGGACGAAGCATTGACGTGGGGTGGAATAAGCTGTAGAGGTTTCCAGGTCTTGGGTGCAGGGATTCTTTCAGCTTCTTCTTACCTCCCTTTAGTCTTCCTCTGATTATCTTGGGTGACCAAGGATGAAAGGAGCAGCCTCCATGAAGATCTCCCCACCGGTTTCTCCTCCCATTCTCTGTCTTGGACATTTTTGTTCCTTCAATCACTGCCTCTGCTAGAATTTTTTTCTGGAGATTTTCCCTTCTCCTTTTTTTCTTTTTATACCTGTCCTACCACCATAACCACTTTAGTTAAGCCCATCTGTTTAAGGGCACAGTGATTTTTCACTGCTGTGTGGTGAGATCTTAGGGTTGGGGCTTGCAGTGGGTAAGGTGCAGATAGTGTCAGAGAGCCAGGTTCTTTGTGGTTCACACCAGAACGAGGCCTTGGAGGTCATTGCTTATTTGTGTGCATCTCATTTCCACCATCGGGTCTTTTCCTCTGCCAACACTTAAATACATCCACTGTGTGCAAGGTGTGGCCGCTCCTGGCAGTGCCTGTCTTTGGGGTGTTTACAGCCCCCACAGGAGAGATTAATTAAGGTAAGAAGCTCCCCAGGGCAGCCTGCAGTGAGGGCACCAGGAGGACATGCTCTCCCCTGTCTGGGATGCTCCATGCAGAAGGCCGAGTCCAGCTGTGAGAGGGTGGGGTTCCCACCATAGCAGGATGAGCAGAGCAGACTTGGGATGAGGAGAAGACAGGTGTGAAGTAGTTCGAGTGGTGCGTGGTCAGGACAGAAGAGGTGTGCCAAGGTGGAGCAGTGCTGTCCCCTGTGAATGTTGGATCAGCAGCGGTGATGGGTCTGCCCTGTGAGGCTGTTGGAAAAGGTCAAATCTGTGTGGCTGGGGTTAGCATTGCTCCTAAAGCAGCGGTTCTCAACCTGTGGGTCTCGACCCCTTTGGCAGTCGAACGACCGTTCCACAGGGGTCACCTAAGACCATCCTGCATATCAGATATTTACATTACGATTCATAACAGTAGCAACATTACAGTTGTGAAGTAGCAACGAAAATAATTTTATGATTGGGTCACAACATGAGGAACTGTATTTAAAGGGCCAGAAGGTTGAGAACCACTGTGATCTAAAGGAACAGGCATTTCCCACTGCATGCATTCCCTGAAGACACAGGTTCCGATATAAAAACTGGGACCTTGGATGGGCACCTGAAGGAACTGCGTCATCAGTCTGGTTTTCACTCCCTTGGAACTGGGCTATTTTGAGGGTGTTCTCAGGTGGTTTGAGAAATTGGCATAAGGCAGGCAGGAGCCGTCTGATGGCGGCCTCTGAGGTTGTTCCAGAGCTTGTAGGAGCAGCTATGTCTGTTGAGCTGGTGGCAAATTCTCTGTGTCAGTTCCTTCTGTTGCAAGGCCTGTGGTCTACCCTTAGTAATGGTACAGCCAGGCTGTGGCTATGCTGTGGGGAATGGGGGTAGGGTCCTTGTTGGGCCCAGGAGGCTTCTCTGCCACCTCCAAGTACAGCTCCTCCTCCACCCCCAACTTCGAGGTGGGCTCTCTCTTTCGCTCTCACTCTCATTCTTGCTCTTACTCTCTCATAATAGCTTTATTGAGATTTGATTCATATAGAGTTCTCTCACTTAGTGTGTAATTCAATGATTTTTAATAAATTCACAGAATTATGCATCCATCACCACACATTTCAGACCATTTTCTTTACCCCAAAATAAACCCCACATGCCTTAACTGTCACCTCCTAGTACCCAACCCCGTAGTCCTAAACTACTGCTATTGTACTTGCTGTCCCTGTGGGTTTGCCTGTTCTTGACATCCTATATAATAAAAGCCTAATATGCAAATTGTTTGACCAGGAGTTCGACCACTGGCTATGATGTGTGCTGACCACCAGGGGGTGGCATGGAACATGGTGGGTGTTGGCAATATGGAGCTGGCAGTGGAGGTGCTGCTGGCCCCTATGGGCCCCAATGAGAGTGAGACCGTGGCAGGATGGTGGAGCAGGTGAGCAGGTGGTGCCAGACCAAGGCAGGTGCGAGCGGGGGCCCGATGACCCCACAGACAGTGACCAGCGGCAGTGGTGGGGAGTAGGGACCCCGCCCTGCTTCTAGGCGCTGAGGTAGCCAGGGGTGGAGGGGGCCTGGCCCCAACCGATTGCCCTGCAGATGATGACCAGTGGCTGGCAGGCCCTGATTGCCTGATTGGGGCTGGGCCCTGGGCTGGGACAGGGAACTGAGGGTGGGTGGTGGTGACCAACATCCCGTGGCGCCCAGGCGGGGGGCGGCGACCTCTCACCAGCTACCTGGGGTGGGTTATGGAGGTGCGGTGAGAATGTGGGGTGTCCACCGAGCTTCCTTTCACTCCCTCTGCTACTCTCCCCCAGGACACCAGGGTTCATGCACCGGGGAAGCCCCCACACTCAGGTGCCAGGTGCCCGTGAGGAGCCTGCCACACACCCAAGCAGCCTTTTTCGGGTGAGCTGGGCTGCAGCCACCAGGACTGCAGGGGCCGGTCAGGCTTTCTGTGGGTTCACGCAGGAGCCGGTCTGCAAGGCCGGCCAGGAGAGAGCTGGTGCCTGTCCAGCTTCCATGCAGCTCTGCTGGGCCGCCCAGAAGCCCACGCTGCTCCTGGCCATACTCTCTGCATCTCCACGTGGGGACTTGGGCGCCATGACTCAGGGGGATGGGGGCCCGGAGGCCCAGGTGTTGCCCAGGGCCCAGAGGTCAGCTGGGACCTGCCCTTCCACGCCAGATGCTCACACTTTGATCCCCTGCCAGGCCTAGGAACCGCACCTGTGCACGAATTTCATGCACCGGGCCAATAGTTTCATATAAATGGAGTCAAGCGTGCTCTTTTGTGACTGCCTTTTTTCACTTCCCATAATGTTTTCAGGGATCATCCATGTTGTAGCATGGTATCAGTACTTCATTCCTTTTTATTGACAATATTCCATGGTATGACTATACCACATTTTGCTTATCCATTTGCCAGTTGATGGACATTTGGGTTTTTCATTTTTTTAAAAAATCTATGAATAGTGCTCCCACATATGTCTTCATTTTTCATGGGAGAATTCCTAGGAGCAGAGTTGTCTGGGCAACATGGGAACTGTGGGCTTAGCCATTTGAGCAACTGCCAAACTACTTTGCACACCAGCTATACCCTGTCCATCTCCACCAACATCCTCAACACTTGTTCTTATGTCTTTTTCAATGATAGGCATGATGCTAATGAGTGTGAACTGGCATATCGTTGTGGTTTTGTTTGCATTTCTCTAATGGCTATTGATGTTGAGCAACTTTACATGTGCCTTTATTTTTTGAATGAAGAGAACTGACACATTTCCTTGCCAAAGATCTTTGACCATGTTTGGGAAGGTGGAGCCAGATATTGTGCTGAGGAGTCAATGGGGAAAGGAAGTGAACGTTGCTCTTTCAGGAAGCACAGGAATAGAGGAAATGTATGAGGGTGGCTAGTGGCAGCGACTGATCTGGCAGCTTGACTTGCTGCAAACAGACTCGCTGTAAAATTCTTTCTGGAGGAGAACGGACAAAGTCCTGGCCCTGGGTTGTCATTGCTCCTATTGGCAACAAGGCTTCAGAGACACACGTCTCATCCTCTCTGTGCCTGTCAGATCCACTTGGCTGGAGGCTCCAGCTGTTGGAAGGCCCAGAGCAGGCAGATTCTTGGCCCGAAAGACCACTTTTTAATCACTGTTGTTCTGTGGCTTCTTGATTAATTGTGGGGTCATTACTGGTGATCATCATTAGGTCTTTCCATGACACCATGCGCCCCCCACCCCCACCCCCCCGTGAGGATTTCGGCCTCCTATTACTATAGATCATAGGGGTGCCTCTCGAATAATAGTTTTGCAAAGTCTTTTAAAAATTCAGTCTTTCAAAAGGAATTGTGTAGATGAATTCTAATTCTCTGTGTGTGCTGACAAAGTTGCAGTTATTTCAAGCTATAGATGCCACTGGAGAAAAGAATATTTCTGGTCTTTCTCTAGTCACTTATAATCTAGGCCCACAATATCCAGAACTGCATTCTAAACTCAGAGATAGGGATTTTCACTTCAAATTTGTATGACTGAGCTGGAATTATCTGACCTGGGCTGGGTTTCTGGACTACCTATTTGCCCCCTGAATGCACCCCTGGGTGATTCTGACTCACCCCGAGGCCACGGCAGAGAAGTGCCTCCTTCTATTGATGCCTTTGGCCCTTGGCCTTTTCTTTGCTTGCTGCAACTTTGAGCAGTGCCCTTGGGAGATTAATTGAGAAAGCAGAGTGACTTCCTGTCTGAATGGGGACAGGTAATTCCTGTCAGAATCTCGGTTTCTTAGTAGGGCCCCCAGACTGTCTTTCTTGGTAGAGCACCTCCTGCACTCTCTGGGGAAAATCCCTACAGCCCTGATGTGAATCCACTCACTGGCCTGGGTTATCGCGAAGAAAGTGTGGCCACTTCCAGAGGACCCGGGGCAGCACCCAGTCAGCTGATTGACTTCTAGACATCAGCCCCTCGAAGGCGGGAACCCTGTCCCATTCATTGCTCGGTCCCCAGGGCCGGTGGGTGGCCGGAGTGCTCAGCATCTGCTTGTGAAACTGATGTAGGAAGCAGCCATGACAGGTGCTGTCCAGCTGGTCTGCACTTAGCGCGGCAGAATCAAGGGCATGGTGCCCAGATGACTCTTCACTTAGTCACCAGCTGTTTTCTTGTGCCCCTGAGAAAATATGCAGGGAAGTCCCTTAGAGGGTCCCCTGGGGTCGCACACAGGAACAGCCAAGGCTGGAAGACAGTGTCCTAAACCTGCAGACTAGGAGGGAGCCTCCTAGGCTGGCACAGTGGGAAAGGTGGTCTGATGCTGGTGGGGCTGCAGGAATGGGGAAGTCTGGATTGTCAGTGTGACCGGGCAAGGCCAGCAGGTGGGGGAGCAGGTCAGTGAAGACAGGAGCCTGCGACCATCTGCAGGGCTGTGGTGATTGCAGACTAGCAGTGCCAAGGGCGCGATGGCATGGAGGAACGGACAGCGGTGATCCAGTAGTGCCAGTGGAATTCAGGCCACCTGGTGTTGGCAGTGTGGTGGTGTGGCATGATGAGGGCAGCTCTCTGCCTGCATCAGGGGCTCTTGAATTTGAGCAGCAGCAGAACTACCCTGAGGACTTGGAGCACAAGCTGCTGTCTCCCGCCGCCTGCCCTCAGCGTTGCTGACTCAGCAGGACCACAGTGGGCCTGAGATTTGCATTTCTCACTTTGCTCCTGTTGCAGCTGAGTTAGAGACCCCACTTTGAAAACCACTGGCCTAGAATTTTCTGCTAAGTGCCAATAGTAAATGTTTTAGGCCTTTGAGCTACCTCGGATTTCTGTCACATCTTCTTAGTCGCTTTTCGCAACTCTTTTAGCATGTATGAGCCATTCTGGGCTGCGGATGAACGGGCTGGGCTGGTGGGAGTGGGGGCACAGGGAGGCAGGGTCTGGTTTACTGCCCCTGCAGCGCCCTGTGTTCCTCACTATGTGATGAGCAAAGGAAACTATGCTCTTTAACCTCATTTTGCCAGATATGAATGGAACAGCCACAGGAAAGCAGGCTGTCGCGTGCCCCACGCTTCCTGTGCTGAAGTGTAGGAGTGAAAAGTGCGAGCAGCTTTCACTCACGGTAGCTAGAACGGAAAGACTGCTGGGCATTGCCCCTGGCATCGCCTGTGTGCTGGTGCCTGGGAGAGGCCACCGGGTGGCCCCGAGAGAGAAAGCTCATCTCTGGACTTTGCTAATGAAAGCTGGCCATGCCTAAGCGGGAGCTCTTCCCCTCCCTGTCCCATTCCCCCTGAGGGGCATCCACTTTCTTGCTCACCTTTCCAGCTGCATGCTCTGATCCTCTCCAGAGCAGAGAACAATGACTTTGTAAGCTCACCTTACATATGCACAAAAGTGCCAGGGGGTGATAGGACTCCACCCTCCACTTGGGTTTCTGCTGACATTCAGTCAAATATCCTTCCATCTCCTCCCCACCTTGCACTACAGACTTCCTGTTTTGAACTTGATCCAGGCTGGAACAGCCCTGCTACACCTGTTAACACACTCAGGCGCCCGTTTCCTCCTCCGTATTTGTACAGCTTTTTGTCGCCTTGCCAGATTTCCCCTCTTAGCTGGCAGATCAAGAACCGTAAGATACCATACCGCACCGGCAAACTAAGAAAAAGGAAGTTCGCATTTTAGAGCTAATTTGAGTGAAAACAGGGCTCTGGTTTGCTTTACCGTGTTTTGCCATGACGGCTGAGCTAACTTTTCGCCTCCTCCACAGCAGGATGGAAGAGAGGAGAGGAAATCAGCAGACGCAGGAGCCGGAGTGAGACGGCCGAGCCCACCATGAGCCCGGGCCTCCCTTCTGCGCTTTGAGAGCCAGCGGCAGGTGAAGTCGCCAGAGAGCAATGGCTCTCTTCACTCCATGGAAGTTGTCCTCGCAGAAGCTGGGCTTTTTCCTCGTGACTTTTGGTTTTATTTGGGGTATGATGCTCCTGCATTTTACCATCCAGCAGCGGACTCAGCCCGAGAGCAGCTCCATGCTGCGTGAGCAGATCCTGGACCTCAGCAAGAGGTACATCAAGGCGCTGGCGGAGGAAAACAAGAACGTGGTGGACGGGCCGTACGCCGGGGTCATGACCGCTTACGGTAAGTGCCGCGCCTGGGCGGCTGCTTGACCCAGCAGCCCAGTGATTTTGCTTCCAAAGGACCCCAGGGGCTCTCAGACTTGGTCTTGTCATGGAGTGAGTGTGTTCCTTGCCATTGCCTTAGTGGCAGTGAATTGCTCACAGAGGGACACTTAGAAAGTTTAAGCAGTGTCCCTTGGGAATGTCTCAGCTCTGGTACACACTCGCACTCAGCCCTGGGAGCAGTGGGGTAGGCAGTTCCATTCTCCTGCTTGTGTTTGCAGCCAGCGCCTCCTCCCTCCACACATTTCTGGATTGCATGATCTCAGCTGGGAGTATCTTTCCCTAAACAAAACTTAATTAGAACTGGTGGATTGAGGTAGGGAGGCTGGGGAGGAGTGGTCCATGGACGCCAAGAAACACAGAGCCCTGTGTGCCTCCCCTTGGCCAGCATGCAAGACATTAGGGCTGCCTGTGGCTAATAGCTTTAACCTTTGGCTTCTTCAGAGATTATTGCTCTTGTTTCTTGCCCTTGTCACTAAGTGCCCAGCTTGAAAAGAAGTCTTTTTGTACTTGTTGCTCTTTTTTTGGCAGGTACTGTAAATCCTTTTTGAAATGAGGTTGAGTAAAAACAAACAAAAAAAAAAACATGTATAGAATTTTACTTATTTTTCTTTGGCCAAAAATTACACTTAATATAGAAAAAGAAAAAGTTGAAAGCTGAGACCAGCAAAAATATAGTAAGAAAAAAAATTAAATCACCTAAATCTATGCTAGGAAATAAGCACAATTAACATTTCAGTGCAGATCTTTCTGATACTCTGTATATGCAAATAAATATATATACACACAGATATATAGAGATGCAAAGTACTTACAAAAGCATGAGTATAAAGGAAAAATTGCAAGTAAAATTTGGATCATTGTGTTCTAGAGAAGCCACTTCCCTTGGGGTGACCCATTGTTCAGTGACAAGTCTAGTCATTGGATGGAGACTTCGGTGGCCTCAGGGTTTGAGACCCTGAGATATAATGTAAATGAGATAGGAGATGGGTTTGGGTGAGGGAAAAGGTTGGTATTCCATCTTGGGACCCAATCATGTGATTCCTGGAAATGTACAGCAACAGGTGGAAGCTAGGTTCAGACACAGGAAATCATGTTCAGCTTTACATATATATATATATTTCTTTTTGAAAGGATCTGGCAAATTTGGTTAGCTTTTAATATTGCATATGTATTCTTTTGGTAAGGAGAAAATGCTTGCTTTTAACATACAATGTGGAAATTCTTTTTCAGTGCCTACTATTTGATCACACTGTCTGCTTTAAGATTTGGCAGTGTCTGTAGGCATTGGCTCTTAATATGTCTACATAAAATACCATTTTTTCTGATCTGATGGATAATAAAAGATTCTATTTTGAAAGCTTATGTTGAAAAACAACTAGGTTGTTTTCAGAGGGCACATTTTTAAATTACTCATTGACTTTGATCTTCTGTGATACACGGTAAGGCAAAGGTAGATTTACAGTTCTTCATATGGAAAACAATACAATCTATACTAATAACAGAGGGATATGCAAATTGGCTGGGATGCTGTCACAAAGGGCACAAATACAATCTATACTAATAACAGAGGGATATGCAGATTGGCTGGGATACTGTCACAAAGAGCACGGAGAGGAAAGGAGAGCAGATAGGCAGTTAGGGCAATCAGGCCAGGAGGGGAGAGCAGATAGGCAGTTAGGGGGATCAGGCTGGGAGTGGAGAGCAATTAGGGCCATCAGGCTGGCAGGGGAGCAGTTAGGGGCATCAGGCAGGAAGGCAGGTGAGTGGTTAGGAGCCAGTGGTTCCTGATGATGAGAGGGATCCTGGATGGAGAGGGTACAGGCCGGGCTGAGGGACCCCCTCTCTCCTGGGCATGAATTTTGTGCACCGGGCCTCTAGTAATCTATAATAATCTATAATAATAAAAGCATAATATGCAAATTGACTGACTGTCTGAACAGAAGAACAACCATCCTGATGACCATGCTATGACATGCATTGGCGCCAGGCCAGCCAAGGGGGGTACAATGCAATTGGTCAGGGGGCCCCACCATTGCCCACCATCGCCCCGCAGAGGGAGGCCCATGCCAGCCAAGCGATTACATCCCACCCCTGTCACCCGCAGAGGGAGGCGATTGGTGACTGGGGAGGGAGGACAGCACTGCACCAATGGTGAGCAGTGGTAGTGGCATGGGCAGGGTCAGGGTCAGCTGCCGGCAGCTGGGGAAAGGAAAGCCCCGATAGGCCCTGATCTCTGGCCAGGCCTAGGACACTACCCAAGGGGTCCTGGATTACGAGAGGGCACAGGCCAGGCTGAGGGACACCGAACCTGTGCACAAATTTCATGCACTGGGCTTCTAGTTAATAAATAATAATACAAATATAAACTCTGGTTTTCTCGTACTCACAACTGTAAACCTACTTTTGCCCCATCCTATATTTCCTACGTATATTAAGCAAACCACCAGAAGAAATAAATAAAGCTGATTTTCACCATTGGTACTGCCAGTATGTGATCAGTGTATAACAAGTAAAACACATGCTGTTTTCAGGTTTCTGGTTCAGTGTACTCCATGTTGGGAGAAAAGGCGAGTAGTCGGTAGTAATTTGCTCCTTCTGTTTATCTCAGTCTATCAAATGTTTTCCATGGGAAGGAGGAAGCACATGAATGGTAAATATAGACTTTCAGTTTCTCCAGTTTTGACTGTTTTTGGTTCTGTGTACTGCTAAATATTTCACAGGGTAAGCTTCTGCTATACTCTAACGCAGCAGTTGCCAATCCGTGGTTCGCGGACCCCTGATGGTCTGTGAGGTCCAAAAGGTTGGCAACCACTGGTCTAAAGGACAGTGATCCGGTCTCAGATTTTCAGCCTCCCAGAGATGTTATGTGTTTGTTTTTGCTTGTTTGTTTTAAAGAAAGTTACCAACCCCCCAAGAGTAGCCTGTTAGAATTTCAACCACCTTTTAATCATAGGTCTTTGCAGCTCAAAGAAATTTTAGAAATTTTTGTGTTCTTCTTCCCTTTACAGATGATCCTTAGCAAAGTAATTCTTTTTTCTTCAACAAAACCCACAAAGAAACAACCACACAGGTGCCATCAGCAAGTCTTAACTCACACTACTGTTTTCTGTCATCTAGTCAGCTTGACATGTCAATCAAAATGGTCTTTGGAGCTGAGTTTCTGGAATATAATTGGACTGTGCTTGTGTGCTTGAAGAATTGGGATCATCACGTGGTGGGATCCTAAGTCAAGGTTTCTTCCCTCGGCATCAGTGACATCAATTCTTTATTGTGATGGGCTGTTTGTGCATCATGGGATGTTTAGCAGCATCCCTGGTGTCTCTACCCACTGGACACTAGTAGCTCCTCCCCAGTAGTGACAGTAAGAAAAGGTCTCCAGATATAGGGGCTCAAAATCCCCCTACCCACCTTGGAGAACCGCTGCACTTAGGGTGGGAACAGCAAGCACTGTCTGCCAGCATCTTTTCTAAGAGTCCTCGAGTGAATAACTGGTTCTTGTTCTTTAAAACCTGCCAGCCTAGCCTTCTCCCTGGGTTCCAGTTCTGGGCACCCACAGCTGGATTGACAAGGTGGTATATTGCACATCAAGTGCTGGGAAACTGGAGAGCCATCCTGGTGATGGCGCTTCCGCTGCAGTTTGTCAGCACCAGTCATGGTCATGTCAGCAGTTGATTGATGTCACATGTCACATGGAGACGAAGAGACTAGAACAGGGGTGGGCCACAGTGGGTTCTTAAACTGGACCGGAGGGCCGGAACAAAAGCATGGATGGAGTGTTTGTGTGAACTAATATAAATTCAAAGTAAACATCATTACATAAAAGGGTACCGTCTTTGTTTTTTTTAGTTTTATTCATTTCAAACGGGCCGGATCCAGCCCGCGGGCCGTAGTTTGCCCACGGCTGGACTAGAAGATGGTCCAGTGGTTTAGCTGGTGGAGTGGGGAAGAGGAGGTGTGAGTCATTGGTCTGCAGTTGCTTTTTCTCCCACAAATGCAGCCCAGGTACAGAGCACTGCCTAGCTATCTGCTCTGGAGGAGTGAAGAGCTGATGCCATGGTTGGGATCTGTCTCAGGTTTGAATGAATCCACTTAATAGAAAAAGAAAAATACCCTTTTCCTATTCCCACATCGGTATAATCAGAGACTCTTAGTATGCTATAAGTGGGTTTTTACTCTGGGACAGATGTTTGAAAAACAGTAGTAGCTGATACCAGATTATTATTGATTTATTAGAATCCCTGACCTGAGATCCCAGAGCAGCAGAATTTGGGTCAAATTCAGACCTCTGCCTGTTGTGCAATTAAGATTTTATAGAAATACAACCTCTCCCATTTGTTTGTAATAACTGAGAACCATGATAAAACCAGTTTTTATTTCACAGAGCAGGTAAAACATGCTGACTCCATCCTTCAGTAGTGACCATAGTTCATTCTAAAACACTCATCTGGTTTGGTTTGTCCTTGACTAAATAATTCCTCAGGACTCGCATGGTCTAAGGCAGCATTTTCAACCTTTTTCATCTCATGGCACACATAAACTAATTACTGAAATTCTGTGGCACACTAAAAAATATATTTTTTGCCCATCTGACAGAAAAAAAAGGTATAATGTTGATTCATTCATACTGAGTGGTTATTGTGTTGGCTGGTGTCATTTTCTTTTTTCTTTTTCTTTTTTTTAATATATTTTATTGATTTTTTACAGAGAGGAAGGGAGAGGGATAGAGAGCTAGAAACATCAATCAGCTGCCTCCTGCACGCCACCCACCGGGGATGTGCCTGCAACCAAGATACGTGCCCTTGATGGAATTGAACCTGGGACCCTTCCGTCCACAGGCTGACGCTCTATCCACTGAGCCAAACCAGTTAGGGCTGGTGTCATTTTCTTATTTGATAGTCTAAGGGGAAAGAGGTCAGTATCTCCAACCAAGTAATCAGGTACTGCATGTTTTAAGAA